TTTACCAATTAGATTAATACGTGAATATGGAAACAATATTATTAATTAATAAATTTTAATTAATTTTTATTTTACATTTGGTTACCAAATAAGTTTTGTATAACGATTCGGCCGAAAAATAAAATAGAAGGATTATATATATATATATATATATATATATATATATATATATATATATATATATATATATATATATATATATACTTATGACACTTCATCAAATCAAAAAAATAAAACTTCACAGCAATTAATAGTTTTCGCACAAAGTGTTTAGAAAAAACTAGTAAGACAAATAAGTACCAAATGGAACACTCAGAACTCGTTTGGTTCGCGAAAAATATTTTAAAGGAAGTGGAATTGGAATTCCATGGAAAAATAATTACTAGGAAGATGAATTTCATTGTTTGGTTGGTGGAAAAAGAATTACTGGGAATACTAATATTGTTTGGTTAGATTTGGAATTGTAAGGAATAATGAGTATAAAGACCTATATGTCCCTACAAATTAATAATAGTAATATAATTAAAAAAGAAAGTAAAGGTAAAATAGGCATTCCATCTCAATTTTTTTTCCCATCTTCCATGAAAAACAAAATACTTGGTCCAACCAAGAATTTTGTTTTCCTCAAATTTGAGAAATTCATTTTCCATTGAAAAATAAATTTCATAAACCAAACACAAGAAAACTACATTTTTCTTTACTTTAAGGAAAATTTTCCATGAACCAAACATCCCCTCATGAGCAGTTCCAAGGATCTACGCTGTAATAGAACTCTTTCCATTGTCTTCTTCCAAAAGGTTGAACTTTTTCCATTGTCTGTGTTGGCATCCAACACACATGAATGAGGCATGCAGAGAGATTAGGGTTTCTTGGAGGATGGTTGACCCTCTCTGCTACGCCACTGATTTCATCTCCAAAACAATTCAACAGCCCTCTTTCATGGAATTAAAGTATGGATATTGCGACATTAACATACCCCCCAACTCTCAGGGTTTAGCCCTCAGATTTCGTGGTTCTGAAGCTGACGCTCTCTTTCTTTCTGAGCTTCTTTATAATTTCATCAATTTTCCCTCAAACAACAATAATGATATCCTTTTCTTTTTTGGTAATCCTGGATTCATGAGGCTGTGATGATACTGTTCTTTTTCTCTCTGAGCGGATTTATCGGGCATGGACCTATCCGACCCGTATCTTGGCGGGGCAAACAGGCTACCCGGCTTCTTTGCAGCCATGGCGGTGTAGGAATAACCCTCTGCCCAGCACCAAATCTGAGCCTCGATCATCGTAAGCCCAGTCGGAATCGAATCGGCGACAGAGATGACCCGTATCTTGGCGAATTTTGCTGCCATGGTTGCGTTGTCAGGTTCTGTGGTTCAGATCTGGGCAGTATTGGTGGAAGTTTTGATGGAATACAGCCCCCTAGGGCTGCAATTAGTTCAACAAGGCTGTGATGATGTTTTGAAGTTCAAATCTGAGCCTCACAGCTGTAGTAGCTATGGTGATGATTGCATGAATCGAACCTGGGTCTCATGGTTTATATAAAAACCTGTTCTGATGTCTTTTTTGGTTGGATTTTCAGCTGAAAAGAATGGAGATTTCAGTGGTAAGTAGCCATGTCCTCATGGTCTCTTGAAAAGAATAGAGATTTCAATTGGCTGGGTTACCCCACGTATAGTCATATATAAGGCTGGGCTGTTCCTGGTTCGTCAGCAACTTAGGCACCATCGTATTGCATTCGTCCGCAACTTAGGCACCATCGTTCCGCAACTTAGGCACATCATATCGTTCCGCATTCGTCTGCAACTTAGGCACATCATATCGTTCCGCATTCGTCTGCAACTTATATATATGACTTGCTTAGCAAATCATTGAGTAGTTGTATTAAGTGTTGTTTTGGAGATGTGCAGCTGAGATTTCTTGATAGCCATGGGCCCATGCATAATGTGGGGTGCTTATCAATTTGTTTGGCATCTTGTGAAATCTCTGTTGTGAGAATGAGGCTCAAGTTCAGAGAGGCATGGGAGTTCTTAAGGGTGGTTGCCCCTCTCTGAAACATAGCCACTGATTTCATCATAATCAGCAAATTGTGAAACAGCCCTTTATGGTGAATATATAATGAGCATATAATATAAACTATAAACATGTTGTCTAGCTATCAGCTTGAACTTTAGCTGTGACAAAAAAAACATCTTCCTTCTTCAATTATATACATATACTGATTTGAACTAAACGCCCCCTTATTTGTGTGCTTCCGGTAGAAAATATTTGCATCTCCTTTACTAGTCTTAATTTGTTTGCCACTGAAAAGGAGAGAAAGAAACTTGCAATACTAAGGAGGCTGTGATGATACCTTTTTTAGTAATAATAATTGTTTGAAAAGACTTTGAGCTATTCCATTAGCTTGGCTTGGCAACTCAGAAGGTCTGGGTGATGGAGGAAGATTATAAGTTGAGCCTAACCGTTTCTTCTTAAATTCTTTCTCCATTTTTCTCTAGACAACTGTTGTTAGCAGCCTGGCAGTTTAGCTCCTTTTCTTGATTAAATAGGCGAAAATCTGAGCCTCCTGCTACTATCAATAGTGAATTCTGGAGAAGAATGAGGTTGCAGAGAGCCATGGGGATTTCTAAGAGTGGTTGCCCATCTCTGTAAGCCGATGATTTTCCACAATGTAAACAACCCTTATTATGTATGTATATATATATATATATATATATATATATATATATATATATATATATATATATATATATATATATATATCTGTGATCTATCTATGGCTCTGTTTGGTATCACTGTTTAGAGTTTTTTTGAGTACTACTGACTCCAATGGGGCGTTTGGTTCACGGAATCTTACCCCAGCGTATTGGCTGCTGAGATCCGAGCAATCGGTAGCTTCTCATTGTGAGCATATAGCTATTAATGTGTAATCAACTATCAGCTTAGGCTTTTGTTGAGATGGAGCACATGCTTTAATTCTCATTCATCTTCATCCTTCTTGCCCTCTTTTTCATCGGCGCCACCATCACTGCCACAGCAACCACGAAATTCATGGGACTTAAGCGTCTGATAACCTGTGATTTTCGGTTACGTGTGAGGCTGTGATGATGAATTTCTAGAGTTCACTGGGGATGGAGAGAAGCCAATCCCTTTATGGCCTGGCGATTTTTGATCCCGAGATATGTCTCATGTGCGATCTGGATTGCAGCCATGGGGGTTGTCTTCTCTACCATGCCCCTGTCTAAATGACAGATCTTAGACTCATTTTGATGATAAAATTGGATCTATAGTCACACTGAATGAGTTTCAGCTCATGAAGTTAAGACCAGGTCCAATTTGGTTCGCTATCCCGACCATGATTGTCACACAACTAGGGGGAAAGTACTTCCTTTTAGGCCGGTTGTGGGCGAGGAGGGATTCGGGCCATCGACAACGTGGTTTGTCGCCACACGCTCTAATCCTCTGAGAGGCTGCAGGGGGATGCGAAGTTTCTAAGGGTGATTTCTCCCCTCTGCATGCCAATGATTTCCCCTAATCATCAAAATAAATTACCCTTTTGAAATGCAGTACGGAGTAGTAGTACTAGTATATATGTGCTATGCTTTCTGGTCCATGGTATAACGATATATTTGCTGTCCTTTATGGTCCATGGTATAACAATTGATTTGCAATTGACGCTTCTATTAGAGGTGTTGTTACTTTCCCACCAATAGGCTATGATGATTTTAGTAAGAGTTATTTAGTGTTTCATGGGCTTAGAGGCAATGTGATCCGTATCTTGGCAGGGCAAATCCGGATGAAACTGAGGTTTGCAGCCATGGCGGTGTCTCTCTCCTCTTGCCCATTCATATATACAAGATCTGAGCCTCCATTCTTACTCTTCATTCCAGAAGATGCTGTTGAAAAAAAAAAAAACATTTATGCATTTTGACAATTTTGGCCAAACCTTTTATATTTGGCATGGAAATTTTGTACACTTTGCATCAAATCTCTGTCATGAGATTTAATTGCTTTTCAGAAATGAATGATGGTGCAGGAGGTTTTGGGGCATTTTAAGGGTGGTTGCCCATCTCTGTATGTCTGTATTTCAGAATTAACAGCCCTTACATAATTTTTCTTTGGTTGAATATGAATACAGGCCAATGTGTCCTGTATACGTATGTGGGTTTGGGGTTTGGTTTTGAGTTAGGGTTGATATCCAGCCCAGCTTCCCCTTATTGGCAAATTATGCTGTGGAACCGTGTCACCTTATTTATCTTCTTCTTCTTCTTCTTCTTCTTCGTGGTTATCCTTGTTCTTATTTTCTGATTTTTCACGGATGGGGATCACGGGGCTGTGAAGATGATGTTCTAGAGTTTATTGGGCCACCAATGCATTCATGGCAGGGGGGCCTTGAAGTACATTGCTCTCTGCTCATTGAAATACTCTTAATGTCACTGTTAATCTTGGTAGGCTGTGATGGTGGTAAAACCTTTCTTAGAGTTTCATGGGCATGGAGATAACAAAACTTGTATCTTGGCAGGGTAAACATGCACAAAATTAATGTTTGCAGCCATGGCGGTGTTACGCTACTTTTGCCCAATCATGTAAAAGATCTGAGCCTCCATCCTTACTCTTCATGAATGTGTTGAACTAATATATATGTAAATGTGTGTGTGTGTGTGTGTGGTCGTATATAGCACCATTAATACCGTGTGTGTTTTTGATTGAACTCTAAGCAAATGTGTGTGTGTGTGTCTGTATGCCTCTGAATTTCCCACAGGTAACAACCCATATAGTATAGTAATCTGTCTGTATATGTGGTTTAAGCTTTGGGTTAGACCCAGGGTTGAGATCCAACTTAGCTTCTCCATCCTCATCCTCACTCTTATTGATATCATCATTGCCACCTGTGCTGCAACTTCTGATATTGGCTAGGACTTTAGGAGTGAGGCTGTGATGATTTATTTTAGAAGTTCATCTATAGCATGGAAAACCACCCTGCCAGTGGAGCCGTCTGGAAGGCCTGACAGATATCTCACTGGTGTAACTGGGTTGTCTTCTCTACTATGCATGTCAGAACAATAAATGTGAGCCTTATTTTGATAATGAAATTGCTTAGACTCACAAAGTAAATGGAGTTTCAACTCAAGAAGGAAATGAGGCCACAGAGGGATTAAGGGTTTGCTCTCTACAAGTTTATTATTAAGTTCCTTTTCCAATTTTCCCTGCAAATTAAATAGCTGGCATGACATCTTTTAGCTACGTTTTTTTTAGATGTACGCATGCATATAAGCTGTGGTTCCAATCTAAGCACTTAGTTGTCTGTTTCATGATGATCATTTCTTATTTGTCAAAATTCATAACTAGGAGTGGCATTTAGAAAGTGCATAAAGAGCAGCGGCAGAACATACCTTAACGGCTTAACAGGTACCAAACTGTTATTACCATCTTTTAACCTTCTCTTTTGTCTAAAAAACTTGTGACTCCTTAATCCATGGCTTCCATGTTAGTGTTGCTTTGATCCATTTCTGCGCTTTCGTGTTTTTGCAGGCATTTTTAAGCCATCCCTTCGGAGTTTCACTGGAAACAAATGCGATAGACAACATTCTTGCCCCGCCCACTTCATGCTCCTGCCCTGTTACACCATCGCTGAAACACCATGACAAGAGTGCCTAACAAGAATGACAACTTGCTTGATGTGCCATTACAATTTGGTTTTGTATTGCATCTTTTAGTGTCAACTTGTGATTCCATTACATCTCTGATTGGACTCAAGAGCTAGCAGCAGGTGGAGTGTTTTGTTGTTGTTGTTCTTGTTGTAAAATCACTATAACTAATTAGGTTATGAAAATATGTTAAGAAAGCCAAATAAGAGATCATTTTTTTTTTTTTGAAAAAGAAAAGAGAGATCTTTTGTTATTCAATAATCTTTGTAATTTTACTCTGAACAGGAGAGTTAATTTTGCTACTCACCATTCATCAGCTGTATAATGGTAATTTCAAGGTTAATCTTCGACTCTTAATGTTGAAAATTTTAATTTTAATTTTTTACTTACAAAATTATTTCAATTCAAAGTGAAAATGTATAAAATGCTGACATTTGATCATATTTTTAAAATCGAGTTTTTTCCCAAAATGGTCCCTTGACTATCGCTCATTCTCAATTTTGCATTTCGACTTTTAATTGCACACAATATGGTCCCTTGACTTTTAAAAACTCCCCCAAATCGATCCTCCGTTAGAAATTTCGTCTATTGAGTGTTAAAATGAAGGGCATTTTCGTCCGTTTACCTATTATATGCCTAATATACTCTGAAAAATAGTCAAGGGACCATTTTGGGAATAGTCGAGGGATCATTTTGGGAAAAACTCATTTATTTATTTCATTTTTGTTTATTTTCATTTTTTAAGACTATCAAATTAGAATTTCTATACATTCTTTTTCTTACAAATATAAATAGTTAAAATCCACAATCAAAAGTCAAAATTTTAAACTTTCTCTACAAATTTTTTCCTTCTATCTAAACATACCAACTTCCCTCTATTCCTATCAAGTTTTACAATAAGTTCCGTAAGTTTCAAAAATATAATACTCATATACTTTTTATGTTCACACACACACACACACACACACACACACAAACTTCAATAGACAATCAATCACTATGTATTACATTAAATATTATTTTTACTAATAAAAATAACATTACTATTTTTATCAGTTTAGACACCCAAAATGTATGCTTCATTTCTCGGTCAGTATGCCTTTGAAAATAAAATTATTATTTTTACAATCAATCGCTATGCTTCTAGCACTTCTTGGAACTGAGAAGTACGCGTCACTTCTCGGTCAATGACAAAATCTTAGAAAATATTTTTGAAAAGTTGGCTTAACTTAACTTGCAAGGCCATTAGTTTCATTCCAAAGTTAGTACAAATCATAACTACCATTTCCAAATGCCTATCTACCAAGAAGTACATCATGCTAAAGAGAGTCTACAACTATGGCTATCAATTTTATGTGTTAAAGGACAAGTAAAATAAACCAAATGCAAAAATAATTAGCACAAAACAAGCAATTCTAAACCTAAAGCCTCATCATTTTTCAATATTACAAGTTCTTGTCATTTTGAAGTTTGTTTGTATTTTATATATGAATATTAATAAACTTAAATTTGAAAGTTAAACTTTTTTACCAAAGTACGAAACTTATTGTAAAACTTGATAGGGATAGAGGAAAAATTTGTATGTTTAGACAGAAGGAAAAATTGTAGAGAAAGTTTAAAAACTATTTATATTTGTAAGAAAAAAAATCTATAGGAATTCTAATATGATAGTCTTAAAAAAATGGAAATAAATAAATAAATTTTTCCCAAAATGGTCCCTCGACTATTCCCAAAATGGTCCCTCGACTATTTTTTAGAGTATATTAGGCATATAACAGGTAAACGGACAAAAATGCCCTTCATTTTAACACTCAATAGACGAAATTTCTAACGGAGGACCAATTTGGGGGAGTTTTTAAAAGTCAAGGGACCACATTGAGTGCAATTAAAAGTCAAAATGCAAAATTGAGAATGAGCGATAGTCGAGGGACCATTTTGGGAAAAAACTCTTTAAAATCTAAAAACAAAAGGTTCATAGTAAGTTAACAAAATACAAAATATTTTGTTATTAAAGTTTATATATATATATATATATATATATATATATATATATATATATATATATATATATTGGATCCAATGAGACGCCTAATTTGATGAGTCGGTGAGATGACATTTTGTTCGTTTATTTTGAGTTTTTAAAGTTTCAGTTTATTGTATTTGATGCCACGTGCTGATAGAGTTTATATGTAGTTAGGGCAGTTTTGGTATTTTCTCACTGTATTTATTACTTTTCCTTAATTAATGACGCCATCTGTAGAGGGTTTTAGCGTTAATTTTGGTTCTCAAATCAATTTTCAATATATTTCTCTCACCCCTTGCTCGTGTCTCTTCAGTTTCTCTCCTATAGATTGTTCTGCACTCAACGACGCAAGGTAGGTGGCCTCCTCCGTTTTGGCGAGCTCGTCCCTCTCCAGTGCCGGTCTGTCCGTGTCATCCAGGTAGTCTACATGGCGGGTTCTTCTATCAGGCATTCTAAGCTTCAAAAGGGCAGTTCTTCCGGATCCCCTCAAGGTATTCCGACTTCCCCGGTCTTTTTTGTGTTGTTTTCCTTCTTTCTTTCTTTTTTTTTTTTTTTTTTTTTGGTAAGTTATTATGCGTTCTACATTTTTCGGCCTAGGGTTTTGTTCCCGGTGGGAGAGTTTTTTGTATGGGGGTTTTTACGGTAGTTGGGGGTGGTGTCGGGGTGTGGCGGTGGTGGGCGCTAGGGTGTTTAGGGTTTTTGTTGTACAGTTCTGTTTTTTATTTTTTATTTTTAATAACCTATTTGTGGTTCCGGCGTGAGTTTTGGGGAGTTTATGTTAACCAACCTGGTTGATAACACTCAACAATCTATAGCCACCACCAGATCAGATTAGATCACATGAGCACTATTTCAAGTTTATTGATAGGAGGTTGCAACTACACGTACTACTGCTCATTATTTTCATCCTAATTAAATGCACATAAGTTTTTGCATAAGATTGGTGCGTGCTACGGCATTGTTTGACCTTTTCGATGACAATTTATTGGCGTGTTTAGGTATCGAACATATACTTTTTCCATTTCTTGAAAGACTTTAGCGCGAAGTCAATTTATTACCGCTAGATTTTGTTGTTACATATTTGTTATACAGTAGTCAATCGACTGACTGGCATAAGCAAGTTAAATAATTTTCAGGCCTCTAATTCCAATTTCATGATAAAAGCTTATCCATTATCTTACTTTGAGCATTTTTATCTGCTCTGAAATAGGCAAGAAGTTGCAGGAGCATTGTGGAACTTGTCATTTGATGATAGAAACGGAGAAGCAATTGCAACAACTGGTGGTGTTGATGCTTGGTATGAGCAATTTAATCTTGAATATCTTATATTTCTTTTATAATTTCCTTAATAACGCTTTTTTAGGTATTCATTTCATATCAGGTATAATGTATTGTGACCAGAATTTTTATTGAATTGATTTGGTTTGCTGTTTTTGATATGTGGAATTGCTATCTAAATTAATGGAAATATGTTGGACCTTTAGAGGCTTGTTGGGCAAGCAATTTGTTACTTGTTCCATTTTCCTCGAATGGAGTATCCTTCGACCTTTCAAATATCTGCTCAGTTATGATTAATAATGCTCTCTTGAAAGGAAAGATCAAGATTTCTATGTAAAGATCTTGCAATGTGAAAGTAGTATATTACCACTGAATTTGTCTGCTTGAAGAATACCTTAGTATATTAATTACCACTTCGGTCAACGTGTTTTTTTTCGTGGAGTTCTGCTTGCAAATACAAGTTTGTGACACCCATCCACTTCCGGAATCTCTCTGTTTAATTGGAAACACATGTGATTGTGTATTTGTATCTCTATATATTGTACAGAATGGATGAAGTTGCACTTCTAGGAAGTGCCACATTTTTCTTTGTGCATGATAGTAATGACGTGCCTCCGTAGCATAATAGAGTTTGCTGAATGACTTGATCTGAACTTTTTTTCCCTTTTTTGCTAGTGTGAGTAAAGGTCGATGCAAGTTAGGCATTAAGTATGTGCATTGTGAATAACTACATAAAATCACGAACACGAGACAAGTCTTATCACACAAAAAGGAATAGCACTCCACCTACGCAGTAAATTCAAAAAAAAAAAAAGAACGAAACGCATATCTACTATGCACTTTATATCCACTCAGAAATGCAAACGCGTATACAAAAATCATATTCACACACCAATGCGCACGTCATACCACAACTATGCATACACCACCGTAAAAATCATATGCCTGTTGCTTTGGTATTCATTTAAAAAAATAAAAAATAAAAACTAAAAACTAAAAAACCAACATGAATTCACACTAACTCTAAATATCAATTATTTATTTAAAAAAAAAATGCCATGCAAAGTTTGGTGTGCAGTAACTTGCACACGCTACTGCATATCAGTGCACACACCACCGTAAATAACAATTTTGGTAAAACAAAAAAACTGAAGACAAGTACTTTTTTCTTTTCTTTGTTCTTTTAAAAAAACAACAACATGAATTCACACACACACCTAATAACAATTTTGGTAAAAAAAAGATGCAATGTTCTCAGACCTATAATATGCACACACCTATGCACACACAATCGTTAAACTCAGATGCCCACTGCTTTGGCATTCATTTAATAATTAACCAAAAAAAAAAAAAAAAAAACCACCATGAATTCACACTCACTCTAAGTAACAATTTTTTTTTAATAAAACCAAATAAAAAAAATTAAAAACGTCATGCAAAGTCCGGGGTACAGTAACTTGCACACACCATTGCATAGTAATGCACACACCACCGTAAATAACAATTTGTGCATTGTTGTCTATTGGCGTGTGCATTTTCACTATGGGATGAGGTTTGTGCGTGCCATCCTGGTCGATGCACACACTTTCCCACGTAAACGCACACACCAGCGTGTATAAACAACCAAACGTTGCATAGCAAAACAACCAAATAATACATATACCCTCTAATTCATTCGAAATGAAAAATCAATATCATTACACGAACACCCCTAATAATAATAATTTCAGATACAACATTAACGACAATACAATTCCAACTCCCCTTAATCTATAAACTGCACACACCAATATAAACACACGCACACACTAAAACTAAACCCATTACCCAATGGCTTAAACATTTTTCTTTTTAATTAAAATCAGAAACAAGATCCCCCCCCCCCCCCCCCCCCCGCCCCCATCCCTTCGTGTTAGTGTTTCATATAAATAGCTCATAACACATCAACAAAATCAAAATACAAATGCGTTATACGCTCTTATGCAGACGCCACAGATCCAAAATGCACAGATCGACGTGCAATAACTATCTAAAAATAAAAACACCA